GGATGGTGGCTGGAGTTTATAAAATGTAAAACTCTATGAATTAGAAATTCAGTTTCTTGCTTGAATATTTGTCATGGAACACATAATCAGAAGGTAAATCTCCTGGGAAGAAAGTCATAATGAATTCTAAATCCTAATAGAAATTACTATTGAATTGTAAACCATTTTGGATTAACCATGCTGCTGTTCCCCTTCATTAGTGTGGATAATTAAAAGTTAACTGTGTATCATTTTCTTGATTTTTATGGATATTGTGTTGCCAGTGATGGTATGTTAGGATGGCCTATGACTAGTTATTTTCTTTAGTTAAGGTAATCAGTAATTGAATTCAGCATTCGAGGATTGAGACTTAAGTGAGCTTATAAACTTTGTCTTCATGATCTCAAGTGCATATCAGGAAGACCTGCTGAGAATTTGTGACTGAACAAATACAGCATTTATTCTGATATCTCCCAAATCATCTAGCACCTAACACATGGTAGGAACTAAGTGTTTACATGAATAAGAAATTACGTAGAAGACAACAAATGAGAGATGGAGAACTGGATCAGCAATTGCATGTGGGACAGCTTCTAAATTGACCTTTGTTTCTAGGAGTGAATCTGGGAAAAGAAATCAGATTTAACCAGCCATCCTTGAAGAATTCACCACATAGTGAGGTGACTCATATATCCCAAACCATCCTGCCTTGCATTTCCTGTATCGAAGGATCCAGGGTTGCTGAACTCTGCCAGGGTGAATTCACAGATGTTTGAACTCAGGGTTAAAACATTAAGTTGTTTGCTTGAATATTAATCTTTCAAATGAGAAAAAAATGTCACAAGTTGTTGGTTTGATTTGGATTAATAGGGTCATGCTTGTATTTTGAGTAGAGAAAATTACATGCTTCTAAGGAAGAAATTTGTTATTTGTGTATTTTTCTTGTTGGGATCTTTTTGACATTTAAGAATGCTGCTGGTGTATCATTTTGACCTGTTCATCTCCTGTTCTCAACTTGGGGCTATTACATCTCCTCTAGAGTTGGCCTGCTGTTAATTGAAGGCACAAAAAGATGTCATAGTTACTTCTACAGTGTTTCCTCCATAGCAGTTACTCCTGGGTCTCTTTCTCCCCTGTTGGTCTACTTTTACATCTTACCAGTTACACCAAGCAATTTAGTCACCGAAAATGCCCTTGGAAACTTCAAGAAAGCTTTGCTGTGGTCTGGTGAAGATGGTCCTGGTGGTAAAACTGGATTTCTTTCATTTGAGAGCCTAGTAATATTCTATCAATATACATCTCAAAAATATAATCCTTACAGAAAATTTGAATTTCTGCTCAACAGCTGTAGAATATGCACATCATTTGCTCAAGTGTGGGACAGAGCTGAATTCTCATACGTCTTAGTAATTATCTAAAACATTGGTTATAATTCAGAGTGGACAATAATGTGACAAAAAAATGAGCTTCTGAATGTGGCTTGGGTAGAAACTGCTTTTTGGGTTACTGTAAATTGAGCCTGGTTCATGGTATAGATTACAATAAGATGATTTTAATAAGGCATCATACAAAATATGTTGAATTGCAGAATTACTGAGACACAAGTAAACTTTCCATCCTTGGAGAAATTAGCAACCAGGAAAAGAATCTAGATAAACTTGGGCTGGTGGAAGGAGTCAGCGCCTTACAACTCATTACAGAATTCTTTGCTTTCTTCTTTCTTTTGAGCACATGTAGGCACTGGACATCATTATTCTGTCATATGCAGAAAGAACATCAGAGGGAAGTAAACAGCTTTCTCACTGGCCCGGGGTCTTGTATAGTAAGAGAGCCGGAGAAATGAACTAAAATAAATATCTGTGCAATTGTTATTAATGCATGAGGGCTATAAATTCTTTTAAAAGTCTTTTATTGTCATTTTTAGCATAAGTTATGGTTGGTCAAAAGTGCTTTGAAGTCTGCTTATACTAATAACTGTTCTGTAGCTCACCATTGTGTCCTTTGCATTGTGTGTCCCCCTCCTCCAAGTTTTATAAAATGGAGAATCATTCCTGCCTGGTTGGAGTATAGGAGATGCATTATTTCCTTTTGACGTTAACTGGTTTAACTAGAGGTAGTGAGGTTAATGCTATCCTTTCCTTTGAATTGCCAATTTGATACAGGACTCTGAATATAAGAACATAAAGAATATCAGAACATAAAGAGGGGATTTATACCCTGTAGGTGAGTACAGTAGGTTTATTTTGGTACCTGGAATTGAACTCAAAGGTCCTTAACCACTTAGATACATCCCTAGTCCTTTTTATATTTTATTTAGAGACAGGTTCTTACTAACTTGCTTAAGGCCTCATTAAGTTTCTGAAGCTGGCTTTGAACTCACATTTCTCCTGCCTCAGCTTTCAAGGCTGCTGGGATTATAGGTATGCACCACTGCATGTTCTCATAGTGTGATGGTTGATAGCAAGGACACTGAATCAATCCAGGTGCTGACACCAGCAATGTGATCTTGGGTGAGTAAATTCATTTCTGCACATTAATTGTCACATCTGTAATAGAGAATAATAGTATAAATCTTATCAGGTTGTTTTGAAGATTAAATGAGCTAATATCAATAGTCTCTGACACATGGTGAGTGCTGTGTATTAGTGAGGATGATGGTGATGATGAGTACCATCTAGTGAGAGTGCTCAATGTGTGTGCTTGATTATCGAGGCAAGGATGTAACCATGAGCTCCGCCCACCTCCAGAACTGTTGATTACCTGCTTTATATAGTTTTGTTCATTTGTTGCATGAGATTGAAGAGCTACCGTATTCTTGAAGGCAAAGGAATGCACTAACAAAAGTGCACTCATGGGCCTTTGGACTTAGTGGTAGGGACTAAGTTCTGAGTCAAATATGGTTTTTTAGCACTATCTTTAAATTAGGAAAAAAATAGAATACTTAAACAGGTTTCAAATTATGAAGTCTCTCCTCAGTTTGTACTTATATTTTCCATTTTAAGGCAGTTTTTAACATGGGAATAAACCTTCATCATTAGCTCCATAAATTGACTCGAAGCACTACTGCAGAGACCGCTGGAGATGATATGTTCATATCTACAGCAAGCATCGAAAATCGAGAGAGGAGTAAAAAGATGCTCAGATCTGGGGGCTAATTAGTTGTTAGGACTAATTAGTCCTTGGGAAAGTGTGACCTTCAGAAGGAGATAAAGAAATGCCTTTTTTTTTGGTAGAGATGATAAATTTACCATGTTGGTCTCAAATACAAACTTCATTATTCCAAGGACAGAGAGGTAGGTGTGTCAATTTGGTGGTCTGTTTTCATCTGGAGCCAGGTCTTGCCTCCTGTCCAGTGTCTTCAGGAAGCACCACTTCCTTGAGAACTAGGGTTTTTGTTGTTTTGTGTGTTTTTTTACATTAGAAATTTGGTCCTGGAATTCTTCTCCCCTCTTTTTTTTCCATGATGAGAAGACAAATTTCTCCCTCACACACTGAAATCTTAGGTGGAGATCCCTGTCCTTCATTATCCTGCTGCACCTGGCTGAGTTGGTACCATCCTTGTTCATAGTGTGCTTCTGGCTGTCACGCCGTCCTTCCTCTTGAATGTCACGCTGTTTAGCCACCTCTCCTCACCCTGTGGATATCAGCTGTTCACTGGGGACACTCTGCTTCCTTCCCTGTGACCTCAGAGGCTGCCTTGGTTTTCCTTCCAACACCTTTGGCCAGTCTTTAGCTTATTTTCCCCCCTAACAAAATAATACATTTGCCATTACAAAAGGACAAACAAAAGGAAAAAAAAACAATTTAAAAATGTATTTGCGGTTCAGAGATAACCATTATTAATATCTATATACATCTATTGTGTATCTATCTATATCTTACCAAAGTGGGATCATGCTCATCTTCTGCCTTGTCAACTCTAAATGTTTACTTGGAGCATATAGAGACTATTTTCCCATGTGGCTCACTTTTCTCCTATATCAGGTTTGGAGTGGGATCCCATTCTAGTGGGATCTCTATCTCTGTATGACCACACCTTTGACCTCCGGCACATGGCATCATGGATGGTTGTCTTTCTCTTAGTGAAAACTTATTTTTCCTTTGTGCAGTCATCTTGCTTCTGTGTGTCATAGTTAATCTGACCCAGGAGAAAAAGGGCAGGGCTTGCTAACTGACTTGCTAACTTGCTAGCATCCTTGGGCACAAGGTCTTGGCAGCAGCACTGGAAAACAGACCCGTCGTCCCCCTCTGCATTTCAGACACACCTTGAGGTCACACAGTGATGAGGAGGGACAGTGGTTATGGGCAGGATGCCCCTGACTGAGTTCTAGTGTTTCCACTCAGCAGATACCTCAGTGTCCTTACCTGCTTCCCACATAGCTTTTGCAAATGACAAACACATTGATACCTTTAGCAACCACTTAGGAAACAGGGCAGCCATTATTTTTATTCAGATAGAGATTTAAAGTTTAACCCAAAGCTGTCTGCTACATCTCCTCCTCATTATCTCCATTCAGAATCTGAGTTCCTGAAACAGTTTCCCAGCTGCTCCTGTCCCCACCATGTGAGGCTTCTGGTTCATTCTTCACGCTATGTCCAGAGTGAGTTTTCTAAAACACAAATCTAATCAGGAGCCGCCTCTGGCTGAAACACTTCAGTGGTCTCAGGATGAAGTCTAATCTCTTTTGCTTGACTTCCCAGGCTCTTTAAAATTTGACCCATGTTTTCCTCTCCAACCTGCCTCTCGTCATTTTCCGATTCCCTTTAATGTTGTGCTCAGCGCTGTACAAGTCCTCAAACTGACCATGCATTTTCTCTTCTCTGAGAACTTCTGCACTATTCTTTCATCTGTGCAACATCCTTCTATTTATCCCAGGCCTCATGAAGGGCTAAGTCTTACACATCCTTCAGGATGCAGTAGAAGCTTCCATTCTCTCCAGAAGGGCTCCAGAACACACGCCCCCCGCCCCCCCAGCCCTGCCACCTCCCCAGACTGAGTTAAGTGTGCCTCCCCACCAAGGGCTCCGTAGCATCCTGTGGTTACCTCTGCACCAGACTCTGCTTTCTACGTTATATAATATGTCTTGTATAATGACATCTTCATCTGTTTCCCCCATGAATCTGCAACCTTCTTCAAGACAAAAGAACTATCCTCCATCCTTAGTCTCTGTATAGCAGTCGGACTATGATCATTGATAAAAATTAATTTCTAATTAATTTCTTAGAATCAGTTTTTTTTTCCTCCAGGCTTGATATCAGTTTTGACATGTTGGCTTTTGATCATTTCAGTTGTCAAGAGTGGAGTTTTTATTAACTTTGTCCCCACATTCTTATCCTACTAACCTTTTTAAATTTCTTTTGCTCCCTGTCTCTTGTCTTCGCCTTTGACCGTCTGTGCTCAGAATCTTCCCTCCATTCCACTTTCCCTGTGTTGTGCTATATAATTATATAATTATTCTATAATTTTGCTTCCCGCCCTTGCCTGAGCTTCGTAAATTGCCACACTGTCTGTTTTCCCTTGGGACTATGAGTGACTCCAAGTCGGAGACATGGCTTCCTTGGTCTCCTTTCTTCTAAAGAACCTTGGTATAGAAGGATTTTTGGTAAGCAGAAGTCAACTGAAATCCAAAGCTTTGAAGCGGGAAGTCAAAGAAACACATTTTTAGAACTGCCTTTCTTCTTGAAGCCCATTATTAATTCAGCAATCAGATCAACGAAGCTCAGAGAGATCTTTTATAAAAAAGGTGCAAGAAGAGGTTTTACCTTTAGGTGCAACCGAGAAGAAACTTTTATTTTTTTAAAATTTAGACTTCTGCTTTAATTTTGAAAGTTGGTAAGTATTCCATGTGGCTTTTTATAGACTGAGAAGACAGAAACTGAACTGTGTCCAGAGCCAGGCAAGTCTCAAAAGGCAATGGAAGCTTAAAACATATTTCACATACCAGATGAGGATGGTGAGGTTGGTTCCACCGGACGACTCAGTTCCGTGCTCTTCTGTAAAAATGGCTACGTTCACCACATAAGGCTGTTCTGAGCATTAAATGAACTAATTCTCACAGAGTACTTAGAAAAATGGCTGGCATATAGTTAGCATTAAAAAAAAAAAGATTATTACTCGGTGGTAGTTGTTTTACATGTGATATCTTATTTTATCCACACATTCACTCAAGGGGTTTACATTTAATTTTCTGAAGCTCACAGATGTCAAATAGGCCATGGAGCTATAAAGTAGTAGAGTTAGACTTAATTTTATTTAACTTTGAAGTCTTTTTACCATACTGCTATTTTAGAAAGGGTAGCCTGGCTGAGTCTGGCACTGTGATGACGGTGAATCTCTCATGTGAGAGTGTGAGTTTGTCTTGATGACTCCTTATCTCTACATATCTTGACCTATCTAATTTGTAGGCTCATGTTTCAGACCCTGGTGTTGTGTGAGGAATCCTTCTTATCCAATGAGATCAGGGGTTTAAAACCTCAACACTATTGATATTCTTGGTTGAATAATTCTTTGTTGTAGGGGATGTTCTGTGCTTTGCAAGATGATTAGCCACATTGCCAGTGTCAACTCCTAAGATACCAGTAGCATCATCTCTCCCCCAGGTGTGACAACTCAAAATGCCTCCAGATGTTTCCAAACGCTCCCCGGGATGTCAGAATTTCCATGGGCTGAGAAACATTGACCTGAAGTATAAATTTAATGTTCACTGTATCATTTGTCCTTGATATGTTCCAGAGGGGACAAATCTTAAATGAAATAACAGAGAGTAACTCTTTCCAACTCTTCAGTTCTCCTTGAGTTCAGCCATCTGCCATTGAGTTCTGTTTTAACTCTCCAAGTTGCTTATTTTCGAAGCCACCAAGAAACCTTGGCCTACCCAGCCTGTAGTAGTTTGTTAGAACCATTGTCATAAAAGACCATGGAGACTGGGTAGTCTAAACAATAGAAATCAATTTTCTTACGATTCTGGAGGCAGGGATTCCAAGATGGTAGACCAGGAGCATTGGTCTCCTCTGCAGCCTCTCTCCTTAGCTTGCAGATGGCTGCCCTCTTAGTGCCTTGACGCATGGTCCTTCCTTTGTGTACATATGGCCTTCCTTGTCTAACATGTGGCCACATTTCCCCTTCTTTCTAGAGCCCACCCTAATGACCTCACTTTAACTTAATCCCCTCTGTAAAGGAGATTTATCTCCAACTAAGGTCACCTTCTGAGATACTGGGGATGAGGGTTTAACACATGAATTTGGCATGGGCACGATTCCCCCCAGGACACACCCTCACTCATTTAATCCATCTATGCTGATACTCGATAGCCCTGATTTTCTCCAGTCTCACAGAATGAACTGTAATCTCCTCCTACTTATGGCTAAGACTTGAATTTTCATCTAAGCTCCAGATCCCCACTCTCCTCTGAGGACTTGTCTAGCCACTCGTCCCACGACCCCCACCCACCGTCCCTGACAGTTTTCTTCTCTGGCTTTTTCTTCTTGATCTGTTGAAGGGCTTCAGTGTCTCCCATCATCAATCCTGTGTTGCCCTGTGACTTTTGTGCTTCGCTCTCCTTCTCGTCACAACTGTATTTCCTGTTCCTTAAAATAAACTTAAGATGCTTTCTGCTTTCACCAACTGAGGTTTGAATACGTTCCTCAAATGTTGATGGGTTGGAGACTTAATCCCTCTGCCCTCATGAATGAGTTCATGGATTAATGAGTGTTCTGTGCTCAAGAGTGGATTAGTGTCACTGTCACAGGAGTTAGTTCGTGATCAGTGGCTCTGTTATACAATGAACTCTCTCTAGCCTGCTTGCTTTGTCTCACTGTGGTGCCCTCCACTGTGTCATGAAGCAGTAAGGAGGCCCTTGCCAGATGCTGAATCAGTTTCATGGTCTTCAACTTTCCAGCCTCCAGAACAGAGTCGAATAAACTTCTGATCTTTATAAGTTACCTAGTCTCAGGAATTCAGTTACAGCAACAGAAAATAGACTTAGACACCATTTTTTCATTTTCTTTTCTTTCTTTACTTCTTTTCAATTTTAATTTCTAACTCCCTCTATCATGTTTCTTTTGGGGGGTGTACCAGAGATTGAACCCAGGGGTGCTTAGCCACTGAGCCACACCCATAGCCCTTTTTTAATATTTTATTTTATTTTGAGGCAGGGTCTCATTGAGTTGCTTAGGGCTTCACTAAGTTGCTGAGGCTGGCTTTGAACTTGTGTTCCTCCTGCCTCAGCCTCCTGAGCTGCTGGGATTACAGGCATGTGCCACCACGTCCAACTCTACCATGCTTTTAAAATTCGTCTCATTATTGCAACTAAATAAGTTCCTATGACTAAATTCATTGGAAATAACTTGATCTTTTTATTTTATTTGCCCTCTTGGCCACATTTAATAAATCAAATACTTATTTCATATCTAGTCCCTATTTATCTATCATCTGTTTATATTAAAGTTATGCTTACACATAGGTTAAGACCAAATGCTTCAGAACCTGGAATAAGAATGACCTGTTCATAAATTATATCTCTTTATTGGCAATGTTTTATTCAATGAAATTAACACTTTTTTTTGCTATTGCATTAGTTTTTACATGTATATTTTTAAAACAAAAATCTTATTCAAACATTTCTGGGTTTTGTTGTTTTAAATATTACTAGATATTATTATAGTAATTATGGGCATTTAGTCTCTGATTTCCCACTTCATCTGACAGTACTTTTGTTTTCCTACCTCCCAAATAGCTTTATATCAAAAATTTTATTTGATGTTCTGTTCATTTCTTTAAATTTAGGGTTATCTAGGTTGATTTCCCATCTTAACTGCAAAAAGTACAGTGCTGGAGACATCCTACTACCTAAATTCAAAATGTGCTACAAACTAAAGTAATCAAAATAGCATGCTATTGACCTAAAAACAGATATACAGATCAGTGGAAAGAAAGGAGTACCCAGACACAACCCCACTATATATAGCTGCCTGTTTCTTGACAGAGATGTCAAAAGCATATATTGGAGGAAGGATAACATCTTCAATAAATG